AGGGTTGTGGTTCCGGAGATAGCGTGACGCGGGTGTACGGAGGGGTTATGTTCAACTTCGTTCGTCATCGCGACTCGTTTCACTGGATCGGTCGGCTGGTGGTGTGAATATTTTTTGTGAATATATTGTCAGTCCGTTGTGATTGTCACACAGGTTCAAACCCCACTGCAGTCAGCATGTCGTTGTGTCCCTGGGCAAGACACTTGACCCCAAATTGCTCCTGTGGGGATTGCCCACAGTATTGACTATGTAAGTCGCTTTGGATAAAAGTGTCTATCAAGTGACATGTGATGTAATGTATTCACCATGAACTGTTATTGCTCAGGTGAATCTCGACCTCCTACAATGTAAGCGTGATGTATTTGGTTCTTAGATCTTGCCGGTTGTGTCTAGAGTGCGCCATCTAGTGGGATCAACTGAAATGCCAGGTATTGCAGGAAAAATGAATGCGGTCTTTACTCTAATTTGGACAATTTTGTTCCAATATTCGACGGGCCGGATTAAAATGCCCAACTGGCCGTATATGGCCCGCGGGCCTTAGTTTGCCCATGCCTGTTCTAGAGGATCCTAATGTCACTGGGTTCTAGAGGGTATTCTTACTGTTGTTTACAGGGGGATATCGTGGGCTTCTCTGTTTCTGTTTTTACCTCCTCAGCGTACGGGGACCTCAGCAGGGTGTTGGCGATCTCAGTGGCGGTCTCGATGTCGGCAGCCGTCAGCTCCTCAGGGTTGGAGGTGAGGATCTGAGTGCTGGACGCCAAGGCCTCTAAATCTGCTGAGTTGGTGATCTGAGAGGAGAGACGGTAGATACAAACTAAAAAGTGTCAGAGCTGGCAGAGTGGAGTTACATTCCAGAGAAATCGGGACTCACGTTTTTTTGGATGTCAGTGAGCGTCTGGTCGCAGAGGAAGATCTGCGGAGGATTCTGGAAACCCGGGGCTCCGGTCCTGTTGGAGCATTGCGTCGAGGCCTGCGGTTTCCCGGCTGGACGGAAACATATTGAAGTGTTGGACTCACACACTGTGGAATATTTTGGGATTTACGTAAATTAACTTTCGGTAGGAACTCACCACCGCTGGATCCGGTTTGACAGATCTCCTCGGAATACGCAAACCAGCCGATGGGTGTTTGTGGGAAATTATACTTGCCCAACTTCTGAGGCCGGCAGAAGTTTGCTGAGGACGAGATGAGTAAAGATGACAGAGATTCAGAGGGACAGCCTGGGTAAAAAGCTGTATATTCTGAGAGGTTGAAGCATTTTTATGTTGATAACATCATCTTTAAACTGCAAAAAAAGGGTAATCAGCTATAATTTCTGAAGAAAAACATATCTCTTAACGAGTAGAAACTGAGTGGCTGAAATGATTCTGATGTTACTAATGGTAAAGAGTAGTGAATAGTGCTGCTGGTTCTAAACCGACTCACCAACAGAACAGCTCTTTCCGGTCCACTCGTCAGGACAGACGCAGACTCCGGACAGAGGAAACCCGCCGTTAGCACAAACCAGTGGGGGGGGAGTAGTAGGATGAGAAGTAGTAGTAGTTGTACGAGGAGGAGGAGGAGAAGAAGTAGTAGTAGTAGTACGAGGAGGAGAAGAAGTAGTAGTAGTACGAGGAGGAGAAGAAGTAGTAGTAGTACGAGGAGGAGGAGAATAAGTAGTAGTAGTAGTACGAGGAGGAGAAGAAGTAGTAGTAGTACGAGGAGGAGGAGGAGGAGAAGTAGTAGTACTAGTAGTAGTAGTGCGAACAGCAGTCGTAGTAGTAACAGGAAGATAAGTAGTACAGTAGTCAGTAGGACCTGTCTCTTCTGGATTTAGAGTTGTCCCTTCTGGATTTGGAGTTATACCTCCTGTAGGTGGAGTTGTCCCTTCTGGATTTGGAGTTATACCTCCTGTAGGTGGAGTTGTCCCTTCTGGATTTGGAGTTATACCTCCTGTAGGTGGAGTTGTCCCTTCTGGATTTGGAGTTATACCTCCTGTAGGTGGAGTTTTCCCTTCTGGATTTGGAGTTATACCTCCTGTAGGTGGAGTTGTCCCTTCTGGATTTGGAGTTATACCTCCTGTAGGTGGAGTTGTCCCTTCTGGANAGGCTAAATAAAAAAAAAATCCCATCCGATAGCTGCAATAATACAAAACAACAGGAGAAGGTGTGCTTCTAATGGTCAATAAATAACCATCCGTTCACTGTTATTGACCATTAGAAGCACACCTTCTCCTGTTGTTTTGTATTATTGCAGCTATCGGATGGGATTTTTTTTTTATTTAGCCTTTATTTATACAGGTGTAAAATCTCATTGAAACACAAGGTCTCATTTTCAAGAGAGACCTGTCAGTGGTAACACTACCACACAAAGTTACCGACAGACAGGACACTAAACACAGAGGCAACACTAAAATACAACATCGTAAAAAAAGTAGTCATTGAAATCCATATACAGTAGTCAGATATAGCAGGTGCAAACACCCACAGAGGATTTCTCCAGCTTTTTTAAAATGAGTTTAAAATCTGTGATGGGTATCAAAGTGGTCAGCTTAAGTTCCTGCTGAAGTGTGTTCCAGGTCGAGGGGGCAGAGTATGATATGGCTTTTTTCCCAAGCATCGTGCGTACTGAGGGGACGGACAGAGTGATGTCATTTTGAGATCGTAGTCTATAGCTGTACTGTTTGTGTGATATGTAAGTGGATATGTAGAGGGGCAGCAGTCCAAGCATAGCGGTATAGATGAGTTTGTACCAGTGCAGTGATCTGCGCATTGATAATGATGTCCAGTTGACTAAAGAGTACAGCGTGCAGTGGGTTATGACCCTCAGAGCCCCATGGTAGACAGCGTGCAGTGGGGTGTGAGGGGGTTACAGTGGGTTATGACCCTCAGAGCCCCTTGGTAGACAGTGTGCAGTGGGTTATGACCCTCAGAGCCCCATGGTAGACAGCGTGCAGTGGGGTGTGAGGGGGTTACAGTGGGTTATGANTGGCGTAACCCTTACCGTCTTGGCAATCCGAGCCGAATTTATGGTTGAAAGGAGGGACCATCTCCTCCTAAGGATTTTACTTTGCCCTCTCTTAACCCCTGGGGGCATGGAGGATGGCGGACGCTTGCAGGGAACTGGAAGTGAGTAACCCAGTCGCCAGATATCCTGGTCCATCCCCTCCGTCAGTTACACAAGCTGGAGCTTCCATTCCCATTAAAAACATGTTTTAGTGGTCTCTCCCTGAGGATGCGAGCAAGAAGGGCAGGCATTAGCCAAGCTGCGGATTCTCTTCATCCACGTTGGACGAAGGAAATCGATCCCAAAGGAGCCTGTGCCGTAGGACACGGTGGGCTCCAGGATGAATCATTCAAGTCTTCTTTTATTTTATTGTGCATGCGGGATTGAATCCCCAGCTGGGGCCAGGACATTCCCACCACGGCAAAGCAGCGGGCGGCTCCACCACGTGGACCAGGATATAATTTGGCCGATGCTGCGGGGCCAAATAATCGGCTCTGAATCGGAACGGTGGGGGGACATCTTGCGGAAGAGGGCAATCAGCGATAGCGCCCAAAACCACACCGTGTTTTTGGCAGCCCTCCCTGTCACGCGGGCGAGGAGGGGCACGAGTTTTCTCTGCCAGCTTTGCTGCCTGGTGTGAGGCAGAGGGCTTGCCCAGGCTCTGCCGCATGGTATCACCAGGGGGAGGTCGGGACAGGACCCGGAATGCCGACGAACGAGAAGGTCCTCGTCATCCTCCTCCCCGGCAAACGGAGCCATTCCGCCCCCGATGGAATGGCGAACGTGAATGGCACCGCCGAGGTGGTGGGGATCGGCGCCCGCTATTAAGGTGTAGCCGCCTATATACTGCGGGCCTGCACGCGCATTCAGGTAGGCTCGCCCCGATTGGCCGGCTAGGTTTATGCAACTCAATAGGTGAATGCTCGCATAGCATGGTTGAGAGTAGTACCCATAGAGTCCAGTAGAGGGCGGAGCCTGTGTTAGGTAAAGGCCCAGATACACCGGCCCGAAATCGGCAGTAAATGGGAGTCGGGCCGAACATGAGCGTGGGCACGCCCTATTCGGAGTGGTGTGCGCCGCACCGTCGGGTCTTTTCTGCCGACCTGACACCTTTTCTTGCCGATTCAACATGTTGAATCGGCGTCGGGAACACCACCGGAAGTCGGACAAAGGGATAACACTGATTGGCTGTTCAGCTAGCGAATCAGTGCATGAGAAGCGTTAACGGAAGTGAGGGAGGTAAACAAATGATTTAAAATGGAAGATGGAACACACAAGGACGGCTATTTCACCTCATCGGTTTATAGAGCTCCTGTTCGTTCATGTTTTCAATGGACGAGAGTGAAATTGGAAAGAAAAACGCTATTTGTTGTTTGTTTATATCACGGAGTCTGTTCTTCTTCTTTGTCTTCCGGTTGTTGCCTCTTTTGAATGATGAATACACACTACCGTCGCCTGCTGGTAAGGAGAGTTATTGCCACTCACGCATGCGCAGTTCATACGTGCTCGGCTCGGATTTGCGGTGTGTTCCAGTGTGCGAAGTCGGCAAATACGCAGGAGAGTCCGGCGACGCAACAGTCTGTGTCGGCATTGGCGACTTCTCAGGTGACTGGCCGGTGTATCTGGGCCTTTACACAAATACTCTTCACATTATTCCTAGATATAGGTTTAATAAACCTGTTTACCGTGTTAAATTATGATTTGATATTTATTTTTGGGGATGAATAATATCTTCTATTCCACAAAAACACAATTAAACAAAACATTAATTTGACTAAACACTCAAACGTAATTTAAGTCAGGTCCACTGGTGTTTTAGAATGAGCAGTGGTATTGGACTATTAACCAGTTAGATTACACATGCACACAGTGGCAGATCTTTAACCAGCAGCTCTTCCTGCTCTTCGCAGCTGCATCCTGGATTGGAGTGTTAAAGTCATGGATGTATAAAGTTGAACTTCTTCATATTTGTATAATATTATAGTTAAGATGGACCTTTATTAATCCCTGTGGGGAAATTCAGTAAGTTAACAGCAACAGGGTAAGATTGAAAAACGGGACAGCGCAGATTCACACAGATTAATAAAAATTAAGGATAAAATCAAAGATAAAAATTATAAATAACTATAAAATAAGAAATGAATTAAAATGAACATATATACATATTTGGTCATGTGTACATATTATTTACATGTGTGTGTGAAAACAAGTTACGCTTCATTAATGAAGTATAACGCTCCGCTGTCCACTCTCCATGTTTGTGATTTGTCAAATGTTGCTCACCCCGCCCCTTTCATGTGAACGCGCTATCAGCCGGACGGAGAAACCCTGGGTTGACTTACCGAGTTGATAACCAGCGTTTTAGGCGCGCTTAGCGAGATCGCGTTTAGTAGGGTTAGTTAAGCCAGATAACTGTAAGACACCCAGGGTCTGTTGAACTGGCTTTGTAGTACAGGCCGCAGGTCTCTCAACCTGGGATGTATTGGTGTATGAAGCAGCTACTAGAATAGAAACTGCTAACGCACAACAGATCGCCCATTTCAAACACCCTGTGCAAAACACATTACATTCATTTTCATATTATTTGGCCAATGCTTTTGTCTAAAGCGATTTACATACACTCCATTACTGTAAACATGTCTACGAGAGCAATTTGGGGTTACTATCCTGCCCAGAGAGACTTCAATATGTTGACTGCAGGGGCTGGGGATCAAAGCACAGACCAGCCGATTGGTAGGTGCCCATTTACCGCTGAGCTACAACTCTCAAATGGTTACAGTTCATCTTTGGATTTGAGCTTCAAGTGGAGTGATTGTCTACCATTTGTTGTTTAATGTTTGTTTAATACCATAATCACAAAAGAACCTGCAATTTCATCTGTCTTGGCATCATTTATATAGAAATATTTGTCAAGGCACATCTGGGAATTGAACCAATTATCTCTTTTTACATATACCTCTTAGTCTGAGCTATACAAATACATGATGTCTTTGTGTGTGTTTGTGTGTGTCCAGAGTTGGCTAAAAGTACCTCCCCCAGCTGCAGCAGCTCCCAGTTTTCATTGATGTAACTCATCAGGTGCATCTCAGAGTCAAAGTACTTCTTCTTGTGGATCACGCTCAGGTTATACAGGCTCAGGTGTGTCACATCCTCCCTGAAACATTTCAGTAAAAGCTGTGTTTTCTTTACTACTTTTAGTTTGGCTCCAAAATAATAGTATACAAAGAAAAAGGCAATGTGTCTAGGAAAAGAAAGGTCATTATGAAGGCACAGTGGAAAAGGTTCAAGCGTAAAGGAAAACAAGCAAGAGACAATAGCCTAGAACTTAATGATAGAATAAATAAAGGAGCATTTAAAGAAAAAGAGAAGAAAGGCCATCACATCCTTGTTTATCTTTGTACCTGTGTCAAAGCTGAACGAACATCTTGAGGTTCACTTACCATCCGAGCGGCAGTCGGCTGATGTACTCTGGGCCACCGTTGCAAACGGAACAAATTAACAGATAAAACCTAAAGTTATACAAACAGAAAAACATGTCAGATTATTGTGCTGCAGAAATTGTTGCAATGTAATAATTCAAAGGCCTGGGGTTTACCGTTTCCTGTGTTATACAAGCAAAAACACAAGGTAAGATAGTGTAAATAGAAAAAACATCTCGAAACAAAAAATGGTTGCTTCTTACATATAACTTTAATATGGTTTCATTCTGCAGTAATGCATTTTATTGTAGCATGAATTGGAACCTGCCATTTTTCTCTTCTTTGCACTCTATTCTCTAATGGTGGTTAACAGTGGCGGCTCCAGAGTATTTTTGTTGGGTAATCTATGGTAGGGCTATACAGTGGTGGGGCTCAAGTCAGTATTCCCAATGTAATTACATACACGCTATATCGCCCCCCTTGATCCAGAACAGAATTGGTGCCTTTGTTGACAAACACCTCATCCCTGAACAAGCAGGTTTCCGCCCTGGCAAGTCGACAACTAGCCAAGTACTGAACTTCACCCAGTACATCGAAGACGGATATGAGGAAGGGATGGTAACTGGTGCGGTGTTTGTCGACCTCTCAGCTGCCTATGACACAGTCAACCGCAGACGTCTCCTCAGTAAGATCCTGGAAACCACACGAGACACCCGCCTGACAGA